AATTCAACCATATACAGGCCATGCTTAGAAATCTCCAGAACACATTTTATACCACCAAAAATTCCAATAATCAAATCATTTCATATAAAATTCCCAAATTTTCACAAAATAGTAATAACTTCACAAAATCAAAAATGAAACAAGATAAGATGTTTATGAACACTAACCATAAATAATAAGCTCTACAAGCTTAAAAATCAAAACTCTTGAAGCTTAGTTTTCCCTTGTCTTTGTAGCAAAGTTCTCCACCCTTTGTCCTCCAAATTACTTGAAATTATTCACACAAATAATCATTCTCAAGCTTTAATCTCAAAGATTAAGTACTTAATCAAAGTTTATTTGGAGTTGGAGTGAATTTGGTGAATTATTCAAGTAGAAAATGGAGAAAACAAAGAGAAGAGAAAGAGAGGCTAAAGGTGAAATGGAGGAGAAGAAGATGAAGTTCACGTTAGTTGGAGAGGAAGAGGAAGAAAAATATTGCTCAAATAATGGAGTTGACTAAAAGGGGAGTTTGGTCTTTTCACCAAAATTGGATGGCTAGGATTGAATGTAAATCTAATCTAATAGCTACAAATATTCTCCAAATTAAATTCCTTCAAAATATTATATAACACAACAAAATTCTCAAATTTACTCCATAAAAATAATTAAAAATAATTCCTCTAATTTCCTTATAATATAACACCATCTCAAAATTTACTCCATAAAAAATATTTCTCTAATTCTTTAATTAATATAACAACATAATTCACTATTCACTAATTTCTCCTAAATTTCTCCAAAAAAAAATATTCATTACCTTACTTTTCTACCCATAAATAATAATGTATACATACCCTCCAAAAATAATTAATAAAAATATAACACATAGATAGTATTTTCGGACCAAAAATAATATTTTATTAGCCGGACCGAATGGCAACTAATTCCACAGACCGATAATTTACTATTCAGACCACAGAAAAAATGGGGCGTTAACACCATATCCAAGCTTAGTTGAAATTAATTTACTATTTCAGACACAGAAAAATGGGGCGTTACACATATCCAAGCTTAGTTTGATAAGAAATGGTACTTTGCCTACTGTAATTGAAGTTAATGCAGACGTAGTGAAGAAAGTAGCAACAACAGTGCAACAACAGTGCAACATCCTATTGCAAACATATTTTCCATGTGAGAGTAGTTTCATATGCGTTAAAGGAGAAATGACATTTAGTAGTTAAAAAAAATATGGTCTTTTTATTTAAAAAGTGCACAAGCTGTCTTTATAAAACGTTGCTACAAATCGTCTTCTGGATAATATAAATTTGTGCTTAAATATTGCAAATGTGGGTGCTTGTACTCATGTATTGCACATATATTATTATTACATGTTTTTCCTCTCTCGATCTGTATATAAAAAAAAAATCAATAGTCTTTGTTAAGTAAATGTGTGCAAATTAGAGATAAAAAATACACCATAAAATAAAATTTGGACAAATACAAAAAGTGAACGCTAATTATATCACAAAATGTGTCCACTCTAAAGTCATTGTTCACATAAAAAAACCTATACTTAAAACAACAAACACATGACTGGAAAAAAAAAAATCAGTTCACAAAAACACAATGTGAACACAAAAAATAAACATAACTATGGACACTCTAACATTAGTTCAAACTAAAACAGAAAATACTACTTCAACATTACCATTTATTCATCTCTTGCACTCAGATCTACAGTGTTTCTTCAACAATTTCACTTGAATTTAGGAGTTCATCAACAGAATCCATTGAGAAGTTGTGCAGCATAGGATCTTGACTATCAGGCTGTGTCTCATCTTCATCTACCATTGTTGTAGTTTCAGAATCCTTTTCTTTTTTATTTTCTTCCTTATGGACTTTATTTTCATCATTATTCCCTTGTTTGTCCCCACCTGCTCCAGTATGAGCACCATTTCCATTCTTCCTCACACCTTGAGGAGTGTCAGGCACTTTAGTCATATTGGCATTTGACTAAACACATTCCTTTAGCTCTATCACCTCTGCCTTAATTTCTTCAATATGTGCCCTAGTTTTATCAACCTTTGCATCCAATTTCTGCACTAATTCAAAAACTGCATCCATTTTCTTCATAAATTGAGATGATAATTTTGTATTGACAGTAGCCTTGTAGCCCTTTTTGGAAGGTTAACCGGTTATTTCAAAGTCCTGTTCTCATCCCTATTGCCCCACTATATAACATCATTGTCCTCAACATACTTCAACAAAATCTACCCCTTATCTCTAATCTTGACAATATTACAAGAGTTCAGATACCTCCCATTAATGTTTTCAATTGCTCTAATATTATCTACATGCTCCTCCTTAACATCAACTCTAGCAGCCACAATGCAATTTGAAATTAGCCTTCCATAAGGCAAATGAATGCAATTCTTCCGCGCTTTATACTTTTCTACACTCATAATCTTCGATTGTGTGCAGTATTGTTCAAATATGCCTGCTGAACTAATTGGAACATGCTTAATCATATGCTATAAAATTAATTTTTCATCTTCAGTAATATTGTCCTTCCTACCAAATTTGGGCAAAATTTTTCCACAACCAATTAAATGAAGTTATCTAGGAATTGCCTTCATCCTAGTTCCAACAAGCTCCTCATTAGCATAATTTTGTGCCAAGAACCTCTCTTCAAATTCAGCAACATCATAACCTTCAGGATATTCAGTATCTTCAATAACAAAATCAAAACTACCAGAATAAATTTGAGCAACATGTAAAACACTCTCATTAATCTTAATCTCAAAACCTTTAATAACTGAGACCACAATAATCTTTTCCCTATCACCCCTTTTTGTTTTCTGTACACACATATTTGCATAAAACAATCTAAATAATCGAGGGTATACCATACCCTCCATTGGCATACACTTTCTTAGAAAGATTTCAAAATAAGGTTCTAAGTCTAAACCAAGATCCTTTAACTCATCAAACTCAACCTTTTTTTCAATCAATAATTTTTCATGCATAACAACTTACTTGTAGTATTCTTCACAAGATCGAGACTTAAAGGCATTTTTCCTCATCATTAATTTTCTTTCTAAGATCCTCTTTTTTTTATTCTTCTGATTCAATGGACTCGACCTCTTCTTGAATAATTTTCCTTTTTTTTCGCTGTTTTCTTTGAAGATTGCGAAGCTTTCTTTTTGGGTGAGGACATTTTCAAGAACGAAGTGCGTTTTGGGGCTGTAGATTGCATTCTATACCCCTTTTTTTCTTTTTAGCATCAGATATATCGACTAACTTTCCCTTCTCTTCCACAATTTTCTTCATGGATGAAACCCCACTATCTTTCTCCATTTTCTTTTGTTTGCTTGTCATTGCAGTTTTACTGTGTTTGGGTGCCACGTATAAGTAAAAAATATCATTTGAGAAGAGTCACTAGATTTGCAATTGATGGAGGAAGCGATTTTTTAGGGGTGAAAGCGGTTGAAGGTTTTCAAACTGCAAATCCCTAATTCTTAAAACAAAAGAATTTATGGGCACATTTTTTTTTTTTTTGAAGCAAAGCACTATTGTTTTGAGACATATCATTTAGGTTAAATATGCCTCTAACAATCTCTTGTGCCCCACTTATATGAACCATGCTTATTTTTCTACACGATTAATTTGTCATGAAATATGCCCACAAAAAATTTTCTATATTTAATACAATATTTAAACTTTGTTTACCACTTTCTTGTTTTTATAAAAAGTGAGTACTCTAAACAAGACAAATTAAGAGTAATTTAGATTTTTCATTTTGCCATAGTTAGGCTGCACGTGGATCGAATTGAGTCAGGTTTATTAATTTAAAGTACCTGACTCGTATGTGCGAGTTAGTGATTTTTTTGAACCAACTCAACCCATTAAATGCATGAACCCGTGGATTATAAATGAGTTGGGTTAAATACGGGTTCAACGTAAATTCGCTGGTCAAATAAATAATAATAATAATATTATTTTTATTATTTTTATTATTTTTAAATATAATATAATTATTTAAGAGGAATTGCTAAAAATAATTAAATATATTTAAAACTTAATTATACAATAACTTCCACAAACTACAAATATATACCAATAATGATATTAAAATTAAATTTTTTAATATGATCATTATTATCACCATCATAATCATAATCAACAATGAAAAATTAAATTTCCTAATAAGAAAGACAATAAGTAAACTTAAAAATAGTTAGTAACCTAATTATGCAATAAGTTTTAGACTATAATATATTCCAATAGTAACAATTCAAAACAAGTTTATACTAAAGAAAAAAAAAAGCAATTAAAGGCAATATATACTAAATATGGAATAATTTAATATTTATATTCAAAATTGCAAATCAAACCAAATTAACTAAATAATTCATAATTCAAAATTGCAATCAAACCAAATTAACTAAATAATTCATAATCACAAGCACACACACACACACACACACATATATATATATATATATATATATATATATAATAATATATAATATATATAATTTGACATTGTTTATAGGTTAGATCAGGTATGCGAATTTATTTAGTGAATCTGTGATCCAATATTTTGACATTGTTTATAGGTTAGATCAGGTATGCGAATTTATTTAGTGAATCTGTGATCCAACTCAACCCATGACTCGTCCAACTAAACTCATTATATCTTCAAACCAGTCAGATTGAGTTTGATTGGATTGGATCACTCAAATTGGATCGGTTAAAATGGGTCATGTACAGCTCTAGCCATAGTTCAATTTAAATAACTTTATCTATACAAGTGGAATACTAAAAATGAAAATTTTATCTATATGAATGAAATGACGCAAGTATTTTCATCCAAGAAGGTGAAATTAAGCGCCAAAACACTAGCTAAACTTTTTCAACTTTCCCAGTAAAAAACATGCAAGAAAGAGACAAAAAAAAAAACAAATGTTCGAGTTTCCAAGGAGAGTTCAAAATAGAACTCATTAAAACGAGCCACGTGTATTTAATATTAACCAGCAATTGCAAAACTGATGAGAAACAAAAACAAAAATAGTAACGCGTAATCTTCTTCTTTCATCTTCCTTAAAGATCACTTTGTTTCCTTAGATCTATGTTTTTATTTTTGCAGCGATAATGGAGAGGTTACCTGCAGATCTCTGTCTCAAGGTTTTCTGCTGGTTGGATCACCAAAACCTTGCAGCTGCTCTCCAAGGTCAAGTAGCTAACATTCATTCATATTTTGGCTCTTTTTTTAATCCAAGAACAGAACTTTCTTATTTTATTTGTTCGGTTCTCAATTGTAGATTAGATCGGTTTTCAATCAGTTCAATTTCTGTATCTAATAATTTGTAGCCCGTCTTTTCAGGTTAAAGCTATAAAAGGGTCAATTGTCAATTTGTTTATTGTTTTAAGCTTGAACATGAAAAACATTTATGAAGGATCTAGGATCTAAAAATCTATGGAAATAGAATTACATGAGAAATTGTCAAACGCATATGCTCTATTTTGAGAATTATTTATGACGGAGGAAGCAGTAGAACTAGAACCAAGTGAGAGTTAAATTAGCAGTGAACTTCTAGTTTTAAAGCTTTCTTATATGGGCAATAACATTCTTTGTTGTTGAAAATAAATAGTGCAGATTTGGCAATAACATTTTCATTTTTGCTGGATTTCCTACCTTTTTTTTGTAGCATGTTATTGACATTGCAAATTTGAATGTATAGTTTGCAAGAAGTGGAAGGCTTTGGCCTCAGATAATGTTCTGTGGTCTAATCTCTTCGAGGAGAGATGGGGAGGAGATCGGGCTGCTTTCTTTGCCCCTATTGACTCAAAGTCATGGAAAGATGTGTATGAGGTGCAAGATCGTTGTGATCGAGTTGGATTGTAAGTTCAACGCCAATGTCTTTTTTTTTTTTAATTCTATTGTTGCTTATTCAAGTTACCCTCTAGCTAGCTGCACCAATTACACAATTAGGCATACTAATCGATCATCAATAACAGAAAATATGTGATGATAAGTTCTTATTCAATTGTATAAATGATAAACTTCATTAAATGGTTGTATAACCTGTCATATTTGTCGAATTCCTGGGGAGGAAACATACTTTCACTTTTGAAACACCAAATTTCTATCAAATTTTGGGATGATTGTAGCCCCTGAGGTTCAACAATGATATCTATTTAACATTCTATTTTACGCCTTGTTGGCTAGACCAAGTTTCTTTATAATGTGAATATCACTTTGTGATGGTATTATTATGACTTGGAGCGGTTGCTCCAATGGGGTGGAAATAGCCAGTTTTGGTGATCAACTAGAGCTCAAGCCCGTTGTAGTTTGGTTTTGGCTTAATTAATTACATATTGGTTTGGAGAAGACATTGGAAGCAGAAAATAGTTTTCATACTGTTATCGAATGCTTGTCTAGTTAAGCTCCAATGTTGCATTTGGATAAATGGAACTGATGTTCAAGCTCAAGCTCTAATGTTCAAAATCTTAAATTTTCAAATCAAATGTGAATCCAATGTGATTTACAATAATAAGTGATAAATTGTTGTGATTGAATGAAGATGTTGGTTTTTTACATGAGCAGGGGGCTGAAGATAATCCGAGAAGGTGGTGATTACTATCTTGTTCACCAAGGGGAAATCCAAAGATATTTAGGTTCGAGGAGACGAAATGAAAGGGCTATAAGTTGTCCACCAAGTTCAAAAGGGGAGCTTATGGCAGATAGATCCATGACAGATGAGGAATCCTGCTGCCGAGGGATATTGGACAAAATATTTTTCTTCATTGGAGATCTGGAAGTTGCATCAACAGAAGCTAAACGTGTTAGGACTCAATGAGCAGGCATCAAGATGCTGTAAAGCACATTCAAAATGTGAAATTTCTCTCTCGCCTGCATTAGCATAGATCCCCATTATCGATGTCTGTATATTAATTTATTGAAATAACCCTTCTCTGGTGTTTTGTGTAAATACTGTCTGCATTCATATTGAAGGTTAATGTATTATTTGCGTGAAATAAAGTGCAGAGTAGAACGGCTGATACATGAACATGCAGATAAGAAAAAAATAACAGCAAGCAAGGGAATATTTGTACATTCAACCCAGTCTTGATGCTTTAGAAATGCCCCTTACCCAATTATCAAGGTATGCTTTAGAAATACTGAGTGCCTCATGATAATGAATAGTTTAAGCATATCGACCTAGGAGAATTCATGATCAGGAGAGAGAAAAGTCAGGCTAATTAGACAAAGTTTTGAAATGTTTTAAAAGCACCGAAAACTAACAAATTGAGTTATATGAATGCCAATAATTAGTCTACAATTCGATTTCTTATGATACAGTTTTTGATATTAAATGTACTTTAATTATATTCACATTATAAATTATTTTAGCTCTTCTTTTATTTTTCACTAACAGTTCATAAAGGATTAAATTGCATTTACTTCTTGAAATACATGGAAAAGTTAAATGAAAATGGAAAAATAAACCGTGAATAGAATAATTAAGTAATAGCCAACGCTTTTAACACAATAGAAGATAAGAGTTAAACCATTTAAGCGCTTCAAATCTTACATCGCAACAAGTTATGGTGTTACAGGTTATAAAGTAGGATACACTTGCAAATCATTGGAGCATTTGTCAGTCATAGAAGTAAGCTAATGGAGAAAATTGTAATAGATCACTTGGCAGTTACTACTCTGGTACAAATCTATAAGACTTGGCTCAGAAAAAGAAAAGAATAACATGAATTACTCATTTACTCTGTAGACATTTCCTACAAAGGACTCATTGATACACTTACTTTCGAAACTAAAGACAGCCATAAAAAGAATCACAATAGTGGCGCAAGCAGCTTTTCCTTTCCTGATTTGTAAAGAAAACCTGCGTTTTTGTTTCTTTCCCCCCTATAAATGAATCCCAATTCAAACAGAACCGGACAAATGTATAGAATTACTGTGATTGTTTCTAAAAATCCCGGTTTTTTAAGCTCATGCCAATCAAATATTCAATGGCTCCGCTTCAGTGTCCTTTTCCCTTGCTGCCCAATCTTCTGTCTCTGCAATTCAGAAAGCAACCAAATGTTACAGGAAGCTCTTAGGTAATATGAATAACAAAATGACACATGTTTAAGAAGATAAACACAGTAAAGATGAAGTATTAATGGAAAAGCAAGGATTATACTTGGCTTATCTGCAATCTGCATGAGCCGCCTCTGCAAGATAGATGCCACAAAGAGGAAAATCGAGCACATGCCGAACATAATGGTGATAGGGAATGCATTAACCTGCAAAAGAAACCAAAGGAATCATTTACGTGACATAATGGGGAATCATTAAAATATGCATTCTTTCAAGCTGTGTGAGAAAAATGGTGGCTGGCTTTAAGAAGATATTGTTGCAGAATTGAGCAAAGATAAGTATTTTCACATCAATTTCCATAAGGTTAAATTTTCACCAACCACAAATCAACACCAACGGATTTGTTTTGAAGTGGTATGATTAAAAATCAGAAATACTAGAATAAATGCAGAAAAAAAAAATGGTGTGATTAACCATGGGTTTTTCCAACCCTGTAAACAATTCCATAGAGACTAGTCCTAATGGATGCAGATATGTTAAGCAAAGCACACAACATACATTGTACAAAACGATGCAGACGAAGATATTCAGAGGAATGCGGAAGAAGTTCATAATAGTGCTTCTGGCCTCCTCAGGAATATACTGGGATCTCATCTTCATAATTGATGGCCAGAATATCCCAACACATGCCTCAAAGGTACAGAAACCAAGAAGCTGGATACAACCTGAAATTGAGATACCTCCACCTTTCACTCCAGAAGGCAAAGGTAAGAACTGTTTCATACAAGAGAAGTCAGATGCTAAAAAAAAATGAGAAAAAGGAAGGTGTAAACCGTGGATGAAATCCATACATACATTGGTTGCAACAGGAAGCGTAAGAGAGATAGAGGAGATAACAAAAACAATCTGCATGTAGCTTTCTACCCTGGATGATGAGCGAGCCATCAATCGAGATGCAAGGGAGCTTCCCAACATTGATGCCAACATGAATGTTGCAAAAATAAAACCATGAGGAATATCCTCTTCATTTGGGCTCAAAGCAGGTGTCCAAAGGAAAACAAAGGTATACATAGAGCCTTCAAACAGCGACTGAATGGCACCAAGCAAAGCAATTTTCTCATCTGAAGCACATTTAATACAACTTTAAGAGGGAAAAAAATGAAAAGACAGAAAAATGGAAAAGGAATGTTAAAAATATAAATGCTTAGAACCATTGATCATGCTGGTCATAGGTGCACAAGCAACAAGGAAGAAAAGAAATGAAAGTAAAATTAGCTTTCCAAATGTCAGATTGAGAATATGTATAGTATAAAACAAGTGCTGGGCTTTACCAGAAGCAATGGCCACAGCAGCACCCCTGAATTGGGTAAACAAGTCCTTGCTCTCTGAAGCGTCTCCATAATTCTCGGTCCATGATGATAAAATAATGGCCATTCCGATTGCAAGAAAGCATGCAGCAGCATCAAAGGGAGCCACAGGCCCAAGGGCAAATGAATCTACAAGAAGGTTTCCAAACAGTCCAGACAAAATAGCAACAAGACCATTTCCCAGAAATATTGCCTTTGAGAAAGTTAGGGATAGCCATTGTTGATCAAAGCCCCTCTACATATATCAAATGAAAAACAGAATAATTTCAGATGATATAGCATTCAAAGTCGGTTATGGTTTTAATGAAATGATCATAACAGAGAGTAACAGAAAAAATATATATATATGGACGGTTATGGTTTGAATGAAATGATCATAACAGAGAGTAACATATATATATATATGCTGAGCACAAAGCTCTAGGTTCAAAACTTGCTTGGAAATTAAGACTGTAAAAATATTTAAGCCTTTGTTTGGAGGGATGCAAAATATGGGAAGATGTAAACTAGGGGGTGAAAATGCATTGGAATTTTCAAATTACCTTGTTTGGTTTGGGTGAAAATAATAAAGAGGGTGTAAAATAAATTTATTTTACCTTGTATAATTTTCCTCTCAAAATGGAGTGAAAATAAGAAATAATGGGTGAAAAGTTACCATTCATATATAACAATAATAATAATAATAATAAAATTATTTTACACCAATCCAAACAATGAGTGCAAAATATTGAGATAAAATGAATAGTACCATTTTACTTCCTTATTTCCTCCTTCCTTATTTTACATCCCCTCTCTTCCCAAACATAGTGCAAATCCAAAGATGGAAAGACAAATATCATGACAAGCATGACATGCAAAAACAGTTTTGAAATAATCGGACAACTTAAGACAATAGAAACAGGTAAATCCAGAGTTCGGAATTCGAAATGCATAACAAACATGACCAGAAAAAGCAGTATAGTAATTATTAAAAAAATCATGTAAAAACAGCCTATTCAAATAAAAAAAAGGCAGGCAAGCAAAGAAACTGTCAAGAACTCCTGGTTCTGCTTTGCAAAACATTGAGTAATCAATTATAATTGTAAAATATTTTATCTTAGAGCCAGCAATTGCACTAAACACTAAGAAAAGAAATGTGATTCCTCACCTTGTTGTGCTCTGCAACTAGCCATGACTCAAAAGCTGAAAATAGTAGAGAAGTGGCAATACCTCCCAAAACACGGCCTACCATCAAAACTCTGTACTGAGGAGAATGCTTGGTAATACAGCTAAGTATGTATGTTATGCAATAAGTAATGCATGCCCTCTTCCGACCCCTGGATACAAAATATCGCATATGTCACCTCAGGGAAAAAAAATAAAAAATTAAAAAAACATAATGGTGATGAAAGAACTGAAGAAAATAAACTCACTGTTTGTCAGCTAAAGAGCCAACAATTGTCCCAAACAACATTGAGGACCCAAATCCAGCAATAAAAAGCTGTCCAATCTCTCCTTTCCCAAAACCATACTGGCTGTAGAGGAAGTACACATATGGACCCTGCAACCAGTCCCCAGCTGTTGCCGCAAAGACAATGCTTGTTAGACAATGAATTGCAAAATTATCAACGCGGACAGAAACAGTTGAATCAACAACTTACTGAATAAATAAATAAATAAATATAAACATTTATGTGCAAGATGCCAATATCATACCTCAAAATTCTAAATAGTAATTACAATTAAAAAGCTAACAGTGATCTTTGAAATTGCACGAGATTTTCATAGTTTCAATGGCAAAACTTAATTTGAAAACTACTAAGAAATAAAGTAAAGATATATGCATAAACTCCATTAATTTGAATGGTAAGACCGGGATTCAAACTACATTGCCGCTTTATCATTTCACAAGCTACATGATAATTCTCAAGCTATAATAAACAACAACAAGAGGAATGATAAATGTTTCAAAAATAGTAAAGCTAATCAATATAAGAGGATATATGAAGCTCAAATTCTACCAAAAGAAAAAAAAAAGACACCATTAAAAAGTTCTACAACAAAAAAGCTCCCAAGACAACGAAAACATTCAGACCCATTTTCAGACGAGGGTGAATCCCAGATCCCATATGCAAAATTGAAGAAATTTTCTAGTTTTTACAATCTAAAACAAAACCACACCAAAATTGCATTTCTAATAAAACAAAAAATCAATCCAAAAGAAATAAGAAAATTAAGTCAGAGATCCACATACAAATGCAAGAGCAACAAAAAAGAGTGAGATCTAAAAGGAGAGAAATGAGATCTATCTAAGGAGGAACTGAAATAAAGAAATTGGGGGATTGGATTACCCATCATAAGAGAGTAAACAACAAGGTAATTGTTCTTGAAGGAATTGAAAGCAGGAGAAGTGTTGATTCGGTCTTTGGTTGACTTGCTTAGCTCCAGTAGTGCAACTACAGCCCCCAATCCTCCAAAAACCAAATAGTAAAAAACCTCCATTGCTCCTTCTCTCTCTTTCTCTGTAGAGTTTTGATGGTAATGTAACCTCTCTCTACACCAAGCTTCTATCACTTAAAAGAGGAAGGACATATATATCAGCTTCAAGAGCACTTGGCTTTTAATCCCCTGCGTTGCATGCATTTCTATTAATTGCGACGGAAGTTCAAATAACATGGTGAGTTAATTTTTAAGATTTCGAGGAAGGACACCGCTAGTCTACTAAAAATCGTGAATATCATAATTTATTATTTATATATATTTTTTATATGTGATAATAAAATTTTAGATATAAAAGTTTTTAATTATAAATTTAAATTTTTAATTAATTCTCAATATCTCAATTAAGCAATATTTTTTTTAAGCATCAAGTGAAAATACCAAAATATTCATGCAAATGTTCAATTCCTATTATCTTCGGTATCAAGAATCAAGATGGCTTGTATAAATTCATCTTTAAAAGCCACATGTCACTTTTAAGTGACTATCAAATAATTTTGGTTATGTCTTCTATTAGTAGTGATATGGTTCTGAAAATGCACCGAAGATGCTCAATTAAAATATATAATTTATAAAAATAACATAAAATAAAATTTAACATTTCGTTTGCTATAGATGAATTCATTTATAAATAAATTCTATTTAATATAAATAAATTTAAAATGTAAAATTTGTAAATGAATTTTATATGTTTGAAATAAATTTAAAAATTAAAAATTCATTTTTCTATTAAAAATACTTGTAGTACAATAATTTTGAAAGGTTAGAAGGATGGAAAGTTTTCATAAAACTTTGAATTTTTAAATTTATGAAAGTTATTTAAAAAATTTTACCTTTTTTATATAATTTTGTTTAATTATATTGAAATCCATATGATTTATTTTGTAGAATTTAATTCTTTAATTATTTTTCTTAATTTGTTAAACTCCTTAAGATGTAATGCATTAGATTGGATACTATAATTGTTAAAAGGCATGCAAAAGCTTCAAATATATAATTCACTATATATTTATGATTTTAAATAAAATGAACCAAAAAAATTCAAAATTTAACATTCTCTCTTTTTTAATTATAAAAAAAGTGTTCAAATAATATTAATAGAAAAAAATTTTAATTTCAAAGAAAAATAATAATAACAACAAATACGATCTACTAAAAATAATTGTTAACCTAGTTGGAGTTAGATAGCCAAAAAAAAAAAAATATAAATTTAGAGACTAATTGTAAGTAAAAATTTTAGAGAATTGAACGTAGCTGTATAAAAATTACGTAATTTTCATGAGACAATTTTCTTCGATCTATAAGAAAGAGAAGGAGTTGAAGGACACGAGTTATTGTAAACTCTAAATGCAAATAAAAGTTACTAGAGTGAGGATGAAAATTAATTTATGGAATATGTATTGCATAGCTAAAATAAAAATCAAGAGAGAGACAAAGTTCCTACTGTGCTTTCATCTCTGTTTATGTCTATGCATTTGAAAAATATAATTTTATATTTCTAAAAAGGATAATTTAATCTTTTCACTTTGTTTTTAATAGTGAAAATTACACTTTTAAATTGAAGGATCTTATGATTTACAAATTTAAAAAGTAGTGATATCATAGTTAGTTATTCAAAATAAAGTTCATCATTTATTAATTTAAATATAATTTAAAGACTTAGTTGTATTTTCCGTAAATTAAAAAATCTAAGTATGAAAATTATGTATAATATCAAAAAAATTAGTAAATTATACTTACAATGATTTTATAAAGATAAATTAATTTTTAATATGAATAAAAATATGAAAATAAAAAATCGATCATAAAAATAAGTTCTGGTATAGTACATAAATTTATTCCTAAATTTAAAATTTTATTGCTATGAAATTTTAAAGTTTTCCAATGATCCATGGAGTCCTTAAGCTGGGTTTTTTTTTTTTAAAAAAAAAATAACCATGCGTTTTTTAATCAAAGGAAAATATCAAATTTAGATTTAGAAAATCCCAAAAATTTATTAATTTAAATATGTATACAATTTAGATAAATTAAATAAATTATTAAAGGAGAAAATTGTTTGATATGGATTAACTCCAACGGAGGAAATGGAAACATTATCAGCAACAAACCACCTTTCAGGATGAAGTTGTACGTTTGACTTTCGTGCTTTGGCGGGACAGTCACATAATTTAGGAAGTACAAGCGTGGGTAGCAGAAGAATGGAGGCCTACAATAGGATTAGGTTGTACAAGATCGGGTCCGGAAAAACGCGGTTTCACGTTGGAACGTTGCAATGTCGAATTCGTTGGAAAAAGTGACACGTGGCGAGATCTGAAAAGTTAGATCGTATTTTATTCTGTTTGTCAACGTCGGTGGTTCCGCTGGCGAAGGGAGAGTGTAGTGTAGTGCGCGATTTCAATATAGCATAGCACGTCTTGGATACTGCATAGCTGGCATTTCTCCATTAGGTGGGCCCCTTTTGTATGGGCCGTCCGATCTCTGACGTGGGCCATTGATGAAATAATTTAAGGATTAGATTTGATCATAAATGCACTGAGCAGTGCAGTGCACTGCTGTGCCGACAGAGAATTTGCAATTGCCTGCATTACACGTGATCGAAGTGCGTGAAATGCACCTGCAGATGATGTTATTTTTAAGTAGAAAAGTATGGGTAAAATGATGTTTGGCTTGACTTATTAGTTAAAAAATGTCCTATATTTTTATTATTTATTTTAAAAATATTATATAACTAAATAAAATAGTATTATTCTAATAAATTTTAATATTAACTATGATCATCTGAATAAACCCTCAAATATTATATTTAATTAATATAACATTTTTTGTCATTTTGATCCATTAATTTACTTTAAGTACCTGTAAATAAACACTTAAATTAATTTTTTTGGAACGAAACACTTAAATTAATTAAAAATTATCTTTTGAAGTAATTTTATTACATATTTTATGATTTATAAATTAAATTAGATTAAGTAGTCAAACCAAACGCTTTTATAATGAAATAAGAAAAGGCTATATATAAAAATTAGGTAAAAAATATGTAACTAAAATTTGAAAATAATATTTTACTTAATTTTAAGGATGTTTAGTTGAAACTATATATTTCATTTCTAAATTATAAATGTCTAATATTATTTTCATAGGATTTCTCACCTATATTAACTATGATCATGCTGGAATAGAACCCTCAAAGTATTATAGTTTAATTAATGATAACATTTTTTGGTCGATTTTGAGTCCATTTGAATTTACTTTAAGTCCTGTAAATAAACGACTTAAGATTAATGTTTTTTTGGAACGAAACGAACTTAAATTAATTAAAAATTATCTTTTGAAGGTAGATTTTATTACATATTTTATGATTTAGTAAATTAAAGTTAGATTAAGGTAGTCAAACCAAAAAGGCTTTTATAATGAAAGTAAGAAAAGGCGTATAGTAGTAAAATTAGGTGAAAAAAATATGGTAACTAGAAATGTTGAAAAATAATATTTTGAGCTTAAGTTTGTAAAGGATGTTTAGTTTGAAACTATAAGTATTTCATTTCTAAATTATAAATGTCTAATATTATTTTCATAGGATTTCTCACCTAATATTAATAAATTTAATATATATATAATATATATATAGTATAAATAAAAATTTAGCTATATATATATATATATAAATATAAAATTTAGCTCACTTTTTATTAAATAAAATAAAAATTTAAATTTAAATTTCTTTATAGAGATTCTTCTCAACCAAATACAAATCTGAGAATATGTTTGACAAATCCCTAATTATCCTAGTTGATATTAAAATATTGTACACTTCATTAATATTTTTCCATTGGACATAAGATAAGACCCATGAATTATGGTTTTTGACAAAGCAAAAGTTGACCTCAATTTTCATATTCATTTGCGACTTTGAAGTGAAATTGATTTATTCTATTAATTATTAGCTTCTCTCATAAAACATGCTTCGATTCCTTTTAAAAAATAATAGATCAATTAATCTTATTGCAATTTTTATCATGAAAATTTCATGATAAAAATGGATTTGGTCAATATTTTTTAGTACTATAACAGATAATATTACATTGCACAAAAATAATATATTTTTTATATTTTTTATTGTGATAATTTTTTTTATACAATAAAATATAATTTAATGGTAAATACACATTCGATTTAAAAATATATTCAGATTTAAATTCTATGCCTAACACTTAAAAAAATCATCCTAATTTCAAAGAAAACTTTTTTTTTTCTTTCAACACAATAAAAAATAAAAATAAGCACATTTTATATTTGAAAAATAAAAGTGAAAACCGAAAAAAAAAAAAAAAAGTATCGAATGATATACATTTAAATCTCCATATTTGACAATAACACAAACGGGCCAATTGGCTCATCATGCTGTAGACGCGCATGATTGATGATTGGTACCCTGTAACAGCATACTACGAATTGAACTTACAATTGGACAATTCATTTATATATTATTCTTTTTCCCAAACACGGTGTGGAGACGTGTTTGGGGACGGGAGAAAAGAAAATAAAGGAAAGAAAAAAAAAAAAAAAAAAAATTCGTGTTTGGGGAGCGGGAAGAAAGAAAATAAAGGAAAGAAAAAAAAAAAAAAAAAAAAAACAAGGATGTTACTGTTTTATTTACTTTCCTTATTTTCTACTCGCATATTTTGATTGGAAAGAAAGGTCAAAAGGGGAAGTGAAGTAATAAAATTTAATTCTTCCTTTTTATTTTGGAAAAGATCTTTAATTAGGGGAGAAAAGAAAATGATAATGATCGAATATATTGAGTATCTCTATCTTTTATATATATATATATATATGATATTATTATATTTAGATATATATTGTCCAGGACCCGTTATTTGTGGACAGACCTGAGCACTTAAGATCGTGAATAGCAATATATTGTCAGGACCGTTATTTTGGACAGACTGACACTAAGATCTGAATAAACTAATAAGCCTAAAACATTATATATATACATTCCTATTTGCATAATTGGCCTTACGCCGGATGTAATCATCATCATATCACCTCGCTCAGGCTACCAAGCACGTATCAATTCAATAGACAATTCATATT